AAATGACGTCGTTTCCAAACGGAAATAGGCCTGTTTTAAAACAAATTTCGTTGACCACACACAGTTTCGGTTGTATAAAATTTTAAAATATAAAAATCAAAATGTCCAGAAACATCATTCTTCGCCTTTTGGTTCTCTTGGCGATTTTTCTTCTGATTTCTGTTTCTTACTGCCAAGATGACGCCACGACCACTCCAGCTACTACTCCTGGAGAAGAAGAGGAAGAAGAGGAACCGCAGAAGCAGGGCTGCTCCATCTGGTGCTGGATTCAGAAGATCGCCATGTTTGTTATATCGCAATTGTTGAGTGGCAATTGAGGAATTATCATGCGAATTTTTGAAAATAAAGTGTTACATACAACAGTGTTTTACTATGATAAAACTTATTATTTCTATGCGAACTGGAATACTAGTTTTTCTGGATAAGCTAGCCCATTTGCATATATATTTATTTCTAACGAAAAGGCACTAGGAGAAAACGATATTTGTTTAACAAAGACTTTCTCAAATTTTATCACAAATCACGCAGCGAATTTGTGTTTTGATTTGACTTTTAATATTCTGAAAGCTTCGTCATCGTAAACTGAACTTTAATTCTCACTTTACGCTAACAATTTGTTCTCTCCTGCTAAATTATATAGATTGTTGTCCATAAGAAGCAACTGGAAAATGAGATCACAAAAACGCGTTACGGCGTCATCCACGTGGACAGTTACCAGATCCCTTAGACATCAGCAACGTAAATGTAGCCAACCAGCTTGAGACATGAGTTTTACGTGAACCCCACCCTCCGAACGGGAAAGCATTACTGCTTCGCTCCAGAAGTACCTACGTAATGCGTAATCTGTGAAGATCGCCTTTCACTTCGGGTTGGTATAAAGATCATATCTATATATCTCAGACGCATATCATTTGTTTATAAAATACCTTTAGACCGGTTGATATACCCGTATATTTATCGGCGGACATAGGATAGCTGTAAATAATAAATCGTAGTAAGATTTAGACATTATGTTTCCTTCCCTTTGCGATATCTATGGGATAACAGTTGGGACTAGGCGGATCATGTTCGTCGTCTGTCCGCCCAATGCAAAAAACTCCTTAAACATACATATTTTATGTACATTGAAGATTTTACCCACATTTTAAAAATGTAAGGACTTTCTTCCTTAAACTTCTTCACGTAATAACCCAATTTCGAAGAGCTGTCAATTTAAATTCGAATATCGGATATTACCTATTGTAATAGACTCCTATTACCTTATAATAGGTAGTATCTGATACGCACACCGAATCCATTATATCTAGAGACTAATTTAATTATGTGCTCATATTGAGGAGTGATCGGATTACAAACGAGGGTATTCGACGCTAATTGGAAGGATTTTGATGTTTGTATAATAGTTATTTATAATAATCTTGTCTAAATAACTATTATTTTGACTTATATTTACTGTTACAAGTCTTGTTTCAAAATGCCTTATTGTTCGTATGTGTAAGAATACTTTATAATATTCGCTCCATAATAAGTCTACAGTATGATCGTCTAATGTAATTGTTAGTCATGATGTGTTTTCAAAATTTCATAACTGTTACGTGTGTTATTTAAGAATGATTTTGATTCCAATCACGAATTCTATCGACTTCAATGAAGCACTCAGGATATCCATCTCTATACAGCACTGAATCACATCTAAATCAGTTCACCAATTGTGGCGATAAACGTGCTTAAAGACACAGAAATACAAACAAAATTCTGTTTAAAATTTTACATAACGCATAATGTATGTTGATTTTGGGATGTTGAACGCGCAAAGGGAAGATCTTCCTCCGAGCGGGTGATATTTGCTCGGTAGCCCGACGGTCCGAATGTTGTTTTTGGAACGAAGTTCCTTATCGCGCGTTGTGAAAGGGCTAGACGGAAAAAATTCTTACGAAAAGTTGTCACGACACTTTTTGCTATAGTAAGCCATTGTAAGCTGTGCGGCGTCGCATGATTCTCTGTCTGTCTGTCTGTCTCTCTCTGCCTCTCTCTCTCTTATAGAAAGCAAGCCAGATATTTTCCTTTCTATTTCGCATTGAACAGTGTGGTGTCGCGACGATTATTTTTGTTGAGTGTATACAGGTTTTTTGTAAATAATAAATAATAAAAAATAATAATAATAATGAATCCTGACAGTGTTTCTGCACAAGTTCCGGATATTTTTATATGGAACTTCGTTCCTATCCGGTGTCCCACGGCACCACACATCTTTTTTTTTTTTTTCCTACCTAAGCTGATAGCCTTGAGAGGCTATTTCAGCGTAACCGTGGCTAGTAGGTGAGCTCACGGGGCTCAAACCTGATGACGTTGCTAACACGAACCCTAGCAAGAGCCGTGCTTCGCAGAATCTACCACCGGATCGGAAACGCGACCCACTGAGAAGATCCGGCGAGAAACTCAGTGGGCTGTGTCTGANCTGATAGCCTTGAGAGGCTATTTCAGCGTAACCGTGGCTAGTAGGTGAGCTCACGGGGCTCAAACCTGATGACGTTGCTAACACGAACCCTAGCAAGAGCCGTGCTTCGCAGAATCTACCACCGGATCGGAAACGCGACCCACTGAGAAGATCCGGCGAGAAACTCAGTGGGCTGTGTCTGAGAGTTAATTTACTCGTCGAACCCGTCGCTTGCGACGAAGGGCTCGACGAGAACGGTGACCGGTGCTTGAAGTACCTAAAAACACCGTTAGTGGATCGGGAGGATCCGAGATGACGTGTGTCCGAATGTTGTTGTTCGGAACTTGTATATATGCAAGCTTATCTTGAAAATGTCGTAAGCGAGATTCAGGCATCTGTCAAATATCTTGCGTTGTATGATGGCTACCGCCTCATTGATTCATAGTTTCGAATTCCGAAATCTACAACTACCCTCAGTTTTATGTGATTTATTTATTTATTTAAATAATATAATAAGCCATTATTATTAGTAATTATAAAGTAATTATTGCTCTACGCTAATTAAATCTGGACGATGAAATTATCTCTACGCGGCAGAAATGGGTAGATTGGTAGAGTCAACCGCTAGGAACCCGTGAATGCTTCTTGCTGATTCTAGTTGTTTTGTCTGACTAGTCTACAGAATTCATAGTTCTTGTTCTATTCTTATAATAACAAATTATTTAAGTACGTATTCTAAGTTTTGTTTGTTCACATGAAGGGCGTGAAAGTATTGACAACGAATATGAAAATTAAAATAAATATTATGCTCCCAAAAAAAAAAGAAAAACCATTTTGGTTATCGGTTTATTTTGGAGGGTAAAAGGTTCAAGATTCGAATCGAACAATTTGATACCCTCGAACGGATTTAAATCTCGTGTACTCGAGTTAGGGCGTGATCCTATTAAGAACGAGTGACTGCATGTGATAAGCGAATCGAGTTGTAATGCAAAACAGCTACCGATACGACTCATAAAACAGTGTTTGAATAATGGACCACTTCCATGGAATTTGAATTAACGGTCTACATTGCTGTTTTGTTAATGAGTGTTTTGGTTAAAATTCAAGCTCTAGATGGGCAAATAAATGGGCTTACGGCCCCTTATAATCTTAAGTGATGGTGATTACATGTATTAACAAGATAAGAGGCATTATGTATAAGTTCTAATTTAATTGCATAATGGTCTTTCTCAGTTTTTAAATCGGAATCAAAATAGGTTTTTAGCGTCTTTTCTTCTGGTGTTGATGGCATTTAAAGGCGAGTATGACTTCTACGGACTAATGGTGCAATATGACGCTATATTCTTATTTGCTATCGAAGCTAATAAAAAAAGATGCACGGTTTCTTAGAATAATTGTTGGTACGATTAGGCCACGAAAATTATTTAGATTAATACCAGAATTTTTCTTTTTTTTATTTGAGTTACAGATTAGCATTGACACTTTGGGGAGAAGAAAAAGTTTTTAGGAACTGTTATAAAAACAGTGTACTTATAGTCAAATCGTTGATATTTTATTACACAGTCTGCCGCCGAAATACAATTTCGGAGCGATTTATAACACACGTTTGAGGTGTACAAGCGAAAACTTGTTATATGGAAAATGTATCAGAAAATATTTGAAATTAAAGTTCGTCGGACAATGATTTTGTTAGATTGTCAGAAGATCTTATAGCTCAACGGTTTTACCACCGTCACACCCATTTGACAGAATCTTGTCCTCACATTGTGACATAAGATTGACATCTAGGTTGCATTAATAAAGAAACAGTATTAATTGGAAACGTAACGCATAACTATTTCCTGCCACAATAAGATAGGTGGTGCTGGTCTAGGCGTAGTACTTACATTAGTGCTGTAATATAATGAAGTCAAATTATGATATCAATTTATGAGATCTATCGAACTGAAACAATTTTTGTATTAATATACAATGACCGGTAACTTCAAACACAAAGCAAATATTGATGGACAGACGCGTGGAATGGGTTGTATATGGGTGGAATATATTATTATTCTGCTTAGCGATGGGCGTGTAAATGTTGATGTGAAGGTAATTTTCAAAGAGGAAATCAATTTCTGTTCTTTGTATAAAAATATATAAGTATTCAATTAATGCAGTTAGGGCTTAATTGGGCAATCGCTTAAAGACGTCACCTACAAGTTAGTTCAGTTAGGAATAACCGAAGTTGGGTCAGAGGACTTTTACTGGTGGTAGGACCACTTGTAAGTCCGCGCGGGTAGGTACCACCACCCCGCCTATTTCTGCCGTGAAGCAGTAATGCGTTTCGGTTTGAAGGGTGGAGCAGCCGTTGTAACTATACTGAGATCTTAGACTTATATCTCAAGGTGGGTGGCGCATTTACGTTGTAGATGTCTATGGGCTCCGGTAACCACTTAACACCAGGCGGGTGTGAGCTCGTCCACTTACATAGGCAATAAAAAAAAACGGAGGATAATTCAATAGGTGTAGCATACTGAACTGTAACTAAAAAATCTAGGTTGATTAGCCAAATTAAACTCACAGTATCTTTATTTAAGTAAGATTTTATAAAGGTGTGTGCATTCGTTGAAGACTTTAGCTTTCTTGCAAACATCTTGCTTGTGTTGCGTTGCTTCAGCGCTTTCGAGACACGCGCTTCCGAAGTCGTTAATTGAATTCCTCTGAGCTAATTGCTCCGGCAGCTGTACGCGTTTTCTGGAAAATACGCATGATAATTGATAAACGCCCATCAATCTATATATTAACTAGCTGACCCGGCAGACTTCGTAGTGCTCCAATCGATAAATGAAAGACCTAAACTTTTGTATAAAATAAACTTTAAAAAAAAGGAATCCATCCGACACACATCAAAGGAAAAACAAAATTGTTTGTTTTTATTTCTATAAAATATCGGAATTCTTTCCGAGCATTTTCATATTTATCTACCTTTTAAACCTTCTCTGGACTTCCATGGATAATTCAAGACCAAAATTAGCCAAATCGGTCCAGCCGTTCTCGAGTTTTAGCGAGACTAACGAACAACAATTCATTTTTATATACATAATATATAGATTTATCGTATGGCATTCGTTTACACTGCGTGGTCATAATTTAAATTTACAGTTTATGAAATAATCGATAGCTTCTTTTGTTACATTTTTGAGATCTTCCACTTGGCCTGCGAATTTCGTTAGTGGCATTCCATGACAATGTGGCATGTGTACAGTTTGCTCTCTTTGGGATTTACGCATGATAATTGATAAACGCCCATCAATCTATATATTAATATGAGAAGCAAAAACTTAGTACCCCTTTTTACGAAAATTGCGCGGACAGAGGAGTATGAAAATTCCAACACTTATAGAGAATATAGAGAAGGAGTGCAGAATGCTAATATTTTTTATAAATTTTAATTAAAAAATACATTCAATCAATAAAAAAACATTACACATACTACCATGTATTATTATTATTTATACATATAAATATACTCTTTGTTTATTGTCAATTGTCAAACTTTTGTTATTTTTTAAAGTCTGTGATCAAATTGAGAATAGATTAATATTGTTTGTCTCTAATATTACGAGTGTTTATCTATAGTGTAGTTTTGGTGAAATCTGTGATTATATTATAGAAGTATAATAGTGTTTGAAAATAGAACCATCATAATGTTTGAACTTATAATTTCAATTAATTATAGTCGAATTTCAACAACTGCGGGACCACTAGTCGTAATAAATGCATGATTTTACCGCCAATGTTACCCGTTAAAAGGAATTTCACCCAGACAAGCGTTCGACGTATGACGGACATTTCTTGATTTATGTTCTCCCCATTCCAATTTCGCAAACCAACGAAATTAATTGGTTCCGCTAAGCGGATCATCCGCTCCGTTGTGCTTAAGCTCTAAATTAGATTGAGTCGAGGCATTAAAATTGTAATTAATATATTAACTTAATTACTCGGTGATCGATTATGTCTTTTTGTGATTAATACAAAATATGTCATTTGGGGATGTAGTTTTGAGAAAAACCCGAGACCTTACTTCTCAAATGTATTGTTTAGGAACTAAAATTCAAGTGTCCTTCGTTTAAAGAAGCAAGACTTCGTTTTTTAATAAGTGGCACCAAAATAGGGTACAGACAGAGAGACATCATTAAGTTGGTTTAATGTAGCTCGAAGCTTAAAGAAATGGAAGATCAAGATTACGTTTTATAGTTATGTTAGTTATAATCGATAATTCCAAATAAAACATAGTTTAGTGAGATGCAAAGTAATTAACCTGTAAAATCAATAGATTCTTTGATATTATCCAAATGGATAAGAAAAACAAAAAAACCTTTTTTTTTCTGTGTGAAACAAATATTTGATGTCTCATTTTTCAATTTTATGTCTAACTTAATCGAAAAAGATCGATTTAATTGGGAATCGATACCGCAGACTTGGTATGTCCGATTCGGCTTAAAGATTGAACTTTTTCAAAACAAATCCGACCTCCAATTTGAAGCATATGTATAGAACGGAAGCCACGTTGCGATTTCTGTTTGTACTAACTATGCCGGGGATGGCGTCCTCGCGGACTTCAGTAGTCGTTTGTAATTGCATTCATGACCATGTAACATAACCATAGTGCGATTAGAGTATTCCAAATTCGAATAACGCCATTTATTTATTACTTTTTTTAATATATACGTTTACAAATTATAAAAAAAAAAAAAAAAATTATAATTAATAAATCAATTGTGTATACTGAGAAAAATAATTGTACATATATTTAACTCGGTATTTTTTGTATTCGTCATGCCTATACATTGTTATAAAATAATGGAAGTAACATTCTCTTCAAAGTATAAATTAGAAACAAAGCGTATATTACACAAAAAAAAACTCTAACAGAACTAAAATGAAACTATAAAAGATAAACCATAAATAATCGCGTTGAATGGAACTTATTCACAAGTTTTCCGCATTACGGTAAGGTCAAGTTTCGTTGGAAAATTAGAGGAAATAGCCCAGGGGAAAGCTACGCCCTTTGAGGACGAAATATTATAACTTATGTGATGGAGGGAGACGTGCAATATTTTATGCGAAAAAAGTCCCCGACATCATGGAAGAGCGCGAAAACTACGTCAGAGGATTTTATTTAGAGAATGTGGGTTCATCTTGACCTCGTCAGCAAAACAATCGTTTTCGGATCTGGTTCGTTTTTTATTGGCTTCGAAGACATACGAGCTCTCTACAGACGCGACAGAAAATGTTCATAAATATTGGTTGTAACAGGGGCATGATCAAGTCTGTCTTTAGCATTGGAAAACTTACTTGATAAACATAATATTTTTTATAAATTTCAAAATGAGATTTGAGTTTATGTTTTTTTATTTATTGCATACATGTGTGGACGAGCTCATAGCCCACCTGATGTTAAGTGGTTACTGGAGCCCATAGACATCTACAACGTAAATGCGCCACCCACCTTGAGATATAACTTCTAAGGTCTCAGTATAGTTATAACGGCTGCACCACCCTTTAAACCGAAACGCATTATTGCTTCACGGCAGAAATAGGCAGGGTGGTGGTACCTACCCGTGCGGACTCACAAGCGGTCCTACCACGAATGATTATGCAAATTATAATTTTGCGGGTTTGATTTTTATTACACGATGTTATTCCTTCACCGTGGAAGTCAATCGCGAACATTTGTTAAGTACGTTTTTCATTTCAAAAATTGGTACCTGCCGGCGGGATTTGAACATCGGTGCATCGCTAGATACGAATGCACCGGACGTCATATCCTTTAGACCACGACGATTTAATGTCTTCAGCCTTTTGAAGTTCTTGTTCATACTTCCGATGCCAGGAAGCAAGTTGCAGTTTGAAGGAAATGCCGTTGTTGGTATACAACTTAGACTCAGACCTAATGTGACCTAATTTGAAGTCGTCGTGGCCTAAAGGATAAAACGTCCGGTGCATTCGTATCTAGCGATGCAACGGTGTTCGAATCCCACTGGCGGGTACCTATTTTTCTAATGAAATACGTACTTAACAAATGTTCACGATCGGCTTCCATGGTGAAGGAATAACGTCGTGTAATAAAAATCAAACCCGCAGAATTATAATTTGTGTAATTGACTGGTGGTAGGACCTCATGTGAGTTCGCAGGGGTGGGTACCACCACCCCACCTATTTCTGCTGTGAAGCAGTAATGCGTTTCGGCTTGAAGGGTGGGGCAGCCGTTGTAACAATACGGAGACCTTAGAACTTATATCTCGAGGTGGGTGGCGCATTTGCGTTGTAAATGTCTATGGGCTCCAGTAACCACTTAACACCAGGTGGGCTGTGAGCTCGTCCAGCTATGTAAGCAATAAAAAAAAATTTTTCAAGATCTGCAGTAGCAGTCGCGTCATGGAATCATAGGCATAAGTAAATGCTGTTTTTTTTAATTGTCCTTATAGGCAGAGGAACATACGGCCCTCTTGATGGTGAATGATTATCGTCGCCCATGGACATCAGTAATGCCTAGGGCCGAGCCAAGCCACTGCATAGCGTTAAGTACTCTCCAATGCTTAACACATAACAAACTGTGCATTTATCTAACGGTCCATAACAATAAAAATACGACTGCTTAAATATCTAGAACTACAAAATAACTATAATAATAAAAAAAATACCTAACTGAATTACCTATAAGCTTCCAAATTGATGACTCCGGTAGGGCTCATAATGCCGAACTTCTTCAGAACACAGAATATTATGCAAGGCTCGTCCGACTCCTCGATTTCCAATCGTTTCGATCTAGGATACATCTCGTTGAGGCATTGATCTGCTATCATATCACTCAATTTATCGTGAGCGTACATCACTGAAATTCGAGCTTCGATGGCCGAGACAATGAGAAGTAATACCACAAGATCTGGAACAGATAGTTGAATTATATGACTTATCGTGTAATCGGTTTGGTCTAATTTGGTATGATTTGTTCTATTTGGGTGTGATTAAGATAGATAAAGCATATTATAGGTATAATCAGATCGGATATCTATAGTTTTAGTTTTCGAATGAACGTATAAAATTCTATTTGGTTCTAATGTTCGATCGTTGAAAAAATGCGTTCCTAACACGTAATTTCTAAAGAAAAATGCAACTTTGAAGAGACGTTTAATTTATATTAGTGGTCCCCCGGTAGTCGAAATTCGACTATAATTTATTGAAATTATAAGCTAGTACACTATTATGATTCTATTGTCATAGACTTCGCCGAGACTACACTTTAGACAAATATTATTAAAAACAAACAATATTTAATCTATTCTCAATTTGACCACAGACTATAAGCAATAAGAAAAGTTTGACAATAAACCATCAATAAACAAAATTAAATAGTATACATGCGTGTGTGTGTCAAATACATGGTGGTGTGTATAATGTTTTTATTTATTGATTTAATATATTGTTTATGCATAATTTAAAAAATATATAAACATTCTGCTCTCCTTTTCTATAATATTCTCTATAAGTGTTGGAAATTTCATACTCCGCAATTTTACGTAATAAGGGGTACAAAGTTTTTGCTTCACGTATATATTTATATTTTATTTGCTATCGAATTATCGAATTCTTACGCTAAAATAATGTTAAACTGATCGCATTCTTTTGGCGGCCAGACAAATATCGGTTATAAAGAGATATCAAGAAAGAAAGAAAAAAGACACGAATTAGAAAATAGTCATATTTTTGCAAAAAATACACGTAACGCTATGTGCTTCTAAAGTCAATTTTGTTTTGGTATTATAACAATAAATATACTAGAGCTATGTATTTGCTTACATGCTTACATTAATAAATTCAGAAATTACAACATCATTCTCTATCCATCTGCGTTAGTTCCGATGTTCCAGAATGTTATGATCGCTTATAATAACGTCAGTTACGGGTATGATAAAGGTACAGATGTGAGAAAATTAGTCCTCACAGCTGATTCCTTTAACAACGTAGAAATATAATAAACAAACAGTTGGCAAGAGCTGTTCTCATTAGCAAATCTATTTTTGTGTAAATCCGTGTTCGTTTACCCAGCTGTTATCTCAAGTATTAAATTGTGTAACTAATATCCTAGTAAAATGTCTAACTTTACTATTATCAATGTAGAAAAGTTTTCCAAGAATTCCCCTGAATGCGAAATACAGCCTTATTAAATACTTAGCAGCCGTCCATAACTACAGGTTAGTCTAGCTTGTAGGGCAACGTTGCCTTCGGGGCATTTAGAAAGAAAATATTAACTTTAAATAGCAAAGGTGACTTTGGGATCTAGTTGTATACAATTCTTGATAGTCAGTTTATTTGGTAAAAAGAAGTTTGTACTTGAAATACGACTTGGGGATGTATTTGTTTGATGTTTCGGATACACATAAAACTGACTAAAATCAATGCCTGTAATAATACATCTTCTTAGTAACTACTATACATTATTAGCAGGTTTACCGGTCACCGTCCACGCCGAACCCGTCGCTTGCGACGAAGGGCTCGACGAGTGAATTAACCCATAGACACCGCCCACTGAGTTTCTCGCCGGATCTTCTCAGTGGGTCGCGTTTTCGATCCGGTGGTAGATTCTGCGAAGCAGAGAGAGCTTGCTAGGGCCTGTGTTAGCAACACACCCGTTTTGAGCACCGTGAGCTCACCTACACGTAAAGGAGAAGCTGATATAGCCTCCCAAGGTTATCAGCATCGGTAGGCAAAAAAAAAGCGGGCTTAATTTTATAAAACGATGATATTTCATTGTGGGTATCGTTTGTAGGCACTGTGGAAAAGGAACCTCCAAAACGTAGTGCCAGTCAATAAGAGTTCAGCGGGCGTCTTCCCCATTAGGCTACGGAAACTTCGATTGTTAATTCAGTTTTTTAGAAAGTGTTACTTACTAGTTTGAAATAACGTATATTTCGACGGCATAGACTTTTGTAACTTGGGTACGAAAAATCGGTTTATGTCATGACTGACAGTCTAAACTAAAATATATGGGAGTGAGGTATTTCTTGCTGTCGATTAGTGGCTAGTTCCTCATCTCTAGCAACACTAGCAGTACAAAATGTCTCCGCGTTGCATCAGATACTTCTACATACCGGAAGCGTTTACTATTTTTGAGAACTCCATTCTTTAAGATACAAATTAGTACAGCAGAACTACCGAGAGGGCTGGTGGTCTTGGCGTCGACGATCGCTGGCCCGGCATCCCGAGGGGGAGGGTGATGGGAGAGATGTGCTGCGCACTAAACGCTTCACTCTCCCCCCTTTGCCTTTTCATGAGTTCTGTCTCATGCGAGGCTCGGACGTGGGTTGTTGAGCGACAGGAGGTTTTAGTCGGTTCGACTCCGACATACCATACCCCGCCCTCTGTCCCCAGTGGAGGGTGGGAGTCCGGCGATTTCTTACCTCCTGATCAAAAAAAAAAGTTCCACAGAACTAGCCCAGATATTAACCGCCCTTGAAACGTAAGCTAAATTTTAATCGAGCTAATCGTAATAAGCTTTTAGAAATTTAAAGTAGTTATTTTATAATATAAGAATATCCTCTTTATTAATGTTTTAAAACAGACATGTTGTGAGTGATTAGATCGGTGCGTTGGACAATAGTTGTCACGCACTTCAATTTCCATGGCAAAGTTAAATGAAATAACATGACATGACAAGTATGTCTACGTCACGTTCTAAATACAAAATGGTAAATAAAATAAGATACCTACTTCAGATTTTTTTTGTCTTGTCTTTGATGTACAAAGAATATCTAATCAATAAGGAAAATATCTAAGGCCTCTCGGATCGGAAAACTTTTGAATGATTAATTTATTTATCAAGTAGGAACGACTTGAAGGGGATTTTTCCTTTGAAAGCTTCGTGGAGAATGCAATTAAGAATAAAAATAGAACGCTTATCGATTTTATTATGAACATAAAAAGTTGAATACAAAAGGCTTTTACTAGGAAACTCGTGGCCCCGTTATCGCAAGGTGGTTCAATATATAGTTTTTCTCTGGAATCTTCGACATGTATTTGAGTTACTCAATCATTTTGCTACCAGTCTTCAGGCTCTCTGTAAGATATCGCATAAAGCTGCGTGCAATCGTTGAAGACTTTGGCTTTCTTACATACATCGTGGTCCAAATTCATTCCGTTGATATTCTGTGCGCATGTTTCGCCGACATCCGATATCAATATCCTCGGGTCGTATCTGTGTATCGCTTGGACCCTTCGATAATAATTCTTGATGTTTATGAAGCCGTCATTGCTTATAATACCGAATTTTTTGAGCACGCAATGTATGATGCATGGAATGTCGTTACGATCTATGCGAAGTGGATATTTGTAAAGGTTTTTAGGGTACATTTCCATGAGACATTCGTTGGTGACTTTATCGCTTTTTTTATCTCTCGCATAGAGTATAGAGAGAGATGGTTCGGAGCCAAGACTATGGGAGAACAGTTTGGTATTATAGCCATAAGACATTAAGGCTACTGTTGAGAGCAGAATGATGAGTATTTCTGGAATGTTTGTAAAATCGTTTAAATATTTGTGACTATACATACCTTTTTATATAAAAAAAACACACCTTATGTTACATACCTTATCTTAAACATACATTTATTTAACCTTAACATACTTACTTCCGGTAGTACGCATTATACATTGATCAAGTTATTAACAAAAAAATTTTTTTTATAATAGTTTCTTTTTTTTTAATACTTCGAATATAAATACAAAACTATACATCCATAAGAGCTTAAATGCCTCCGAATGATTATTCATATCAAAGTTCCCTTGGACTACTACAAAGGAAATTAATTAAAACTTTCTTTAGAAAAAATACTCTGACAAGCTTTGACGTTTCTTTCATTAGAAAAAAAAAGAGATTCCTTTTGTATCGCGTCTGCAGAGTGAAGAATTCAAATTAAAATTGTGATCGAATCGAAGAGACAATTATTTGTAAAAGTTTTTACTTAAAAAGTTTTATGATGTAAAATAAAATAGTTGAATTTACAGTGACTTTTGAATAAAAAATTTAAATTTGTTATTCGCAATTTATTTTATGTTATTTAATTGGAGCTGTAGTACTTTATAACGCCCACCGGTGTATCCGTACTGCGGTTTCAATTTTTTCTAAGAAATACTCAACAAATGTTCACGAAAATGTTTTACGATACAGCAATAATGTCTTCTACATATATAACCTAATTGCGTAAGTACTGGTAGTGCGTTTTCTAGGTACCGTTTTCCTGCAAATTTCTGTTGTAGAGCAGATATGCGTTCAGGCTTAACTGTCGTCATATAATTGAGGCTCCGACCTCATGTCTCAAGGTGGGTGGCGGTATACACGTTGTAATGTCTGCTGGTTACCATTTAACATCACGTGGCTAAACTCACATATTCGATCTAGCGTAAAACAAACAAGATATCATTTATAAATCATCAAATACAAAAACATATAAAGCATATAAGCATTTGTTATTAGTTATATGTATCGTAGTAAAACTTATTATGTATTTTATGTAAAATGTATTTAAAAAAAAACAAAAAGAGCTGTCCTAATTAAGAATAGTTTCAAGGTATTAAGGAAAACCGTAAAAATAATTTTTATTATACAAATGATTCGCGAAAATCGAAGAAAATAAGTACTGAATGAATTTTCATTTAAAAAAAATTAAATCTAAAACTCACTTTTCATTTTTCATATAAAGATTCTATCTAGGCAAACTGTAATTACAATTCAATGCAGACGCATCATAAACCATGAGATTTTCGCCGTTACTAAAATCTGAAATACGATATTACCCAAAACCGAGCGAAGTATTGTTTGGTTATTTGAAAGAAAATTGTTTTATACACTACGAAGAAACAATCGGCTTTTGTTTGCTTTCGATAAAGAAAGCAATACGATAACGTTTGTTTCTTTGGCAGGTGCATTCTAAGTTACATACCTCGAACAAAGACCGGTTTCTTTTTAACTTGCTTCATTATTGTTATGCAAGGTATTCAGTTGCAACTATTTGTAATAAAAAAAATCGTACATAGTTGAAAATGTTGGTACATTTTGTTTATTAATTTTGTAGGCAGACGAAGATACGGCCCATCCGATGGTGAGTGGTGTCCGTCAGTCAAGGACGTCAACAATGCTAGGGGCACAGCCAAATGTATTTTTTGTATTACATAGATGAGTGGACGAGCTCACAGCCCACCCGGTGTTAAGTAGTTACTGGAGCCCATCGACATCTACAACGTTAATGCCACCACCCACCTTGAGATATGAGTTCTAAGGTCTCAGTATAGTTACAACGACTGCCTCGCCCTTCCAACCGAAACGCATTACTGCTTCAATGCAGAAATAGGCAGGATGGTGGTACCTACCCGTGCGGACTCACAAGAGGTCCTACCACCAGTAAAGGTCTTTTCTTACCGTTGAGTACTCCCAGCAAACCACATATTATATTAAAGTATTTTAATTTACTTATGCAAGACAAAACAGCGTTTTTTAAGCCAACGTCTATGTTATTGACAATTTGAATTTATTACAAGGTGGCCAACCAGGAGTGCTTGTCAATAAATTTTACGCTACAAGTGATAGATCGAAAGCCACGTTATCCATATATGTGAGCTTTAACTGTGGTATTTATTTTGGGTATAAAACATTCCGATATTCAGGTTTGATTGTCACCCACAGACACAGCCCACTGACTTTCTCGCCGGATCTTCTCAGTGGGTCGCGTTTCCGATCCGGTGGTAGATTCTGCGAAGCACTGCTCTTGTTAGGGCCGGTGTTAGCAACGCCTCCGGTTTGAGCCCCGTGAGCTCACCTACACGTTAGGGTGAACCTGAAATAGCCTCTCAAGGCTAGGTATCAGCATAGGTAGGAAAAAAAAGCTGTGTCACAAAATGCGTCGACATCTGTGGACTCCAAAAAGCCGCACAGTACAGAGATAACGCTCTACAAAATACGAAATTAGCCAATTTTCGCTTTTATAGATCGATGTACAATATTTATTGCCGGGTACTGTACGGCTCTGAGCTTCTTTCATACTTAATTCTTAGTAGACTAAAGGACTATTCGAAATACGCGCGGATAGTTATGTAGGTTAAGCTAAAATAATTTGTTAGCACTCGTCCTAGAAAGATCAGTGTTACGCTAATTATACTACCGGATGAAATTGCACCTATCTATCTATTTCAATCATAAAACGAAAATTGGCAGTAGGCAGTGGCTTCGCTCTGCCCCTGGCATTGCTGAAGTCCATGGGCGACGGTAACCACTCACCATCAGGTGGGCCGTATACTCGTGTGCCTACAACAAAAAAAAATTGGCATTTCGGGTGCAAAAATGTAATCAATGCTGTCTTCATGTAGATGCAGCAACAGTCGTCGCGAAAACATGTCCTTTTTCTATAGATAGGAACAGAAATCGTATGAAAATTGCCAAATAAACAGAAAGGATTTTAACGTAACAAAAATTTAATTGAAAAATAACGATGCGACAAGAATTCGAGAAAGTTAAATTGGAATCAAGAGAAAACACGGCTCCAGTGTTGTCGAATTAATTTGGAGGGTATTTTTCCCCTATAGCCGTATTCTTCTCTTTTTTTGCTATGAATATTTATTGAGAACACTCAGTGTCTAAAGAACAATGGATTTTATTGTCACTCGACCTTACTGTTCGAGATTTTTATTTTTCAATTTTTTAAATTCCACACATCGTTGCTTTTCTTAGCCTGAATAGCCTTATACTGAATACGGATCATATTTTTTCTTTTTGAAAGAAATATGAGCTATATATCAGTTGAATTAGGACATCAAAGCATTATACGGTAAATTGTTTTGGTAGTAAAATTTTAAGTAGGAAAGCGGACTGTGGCAATAGTTCGTGAAAACGCTAGGAAGAAGAAGAAGAAGAATAAAACTATTTTCTATGTTTATTCTTACAAAACCAATATGCGTGACTTTGGTTCGTACTAACAGTTTCTCATTATAATTACTACACGAATCAGTTTGTGTCAATATTAATTAATTAAATAAGAATCTTTATTAACTCAATGAAGTAAAAACTAAAACAATTTTTATCCTTGTATCCTTATCCTTGAAATTCTTCTTTGCAAAAACTTCCTAAATCCTGTAGGAAATTCGAAAACAGCAGTAGTGTCATGGCCAGTCTCGAACCCCGACTTTTCGTATGAGGTGAGCAGGAAAAATGAAAGGAATGTTCTTGAAGCAGGTACTCCTAAAATGGTGTAGCTAGCCGTGATCGACTATGACAATTTAAAGTGGACTTCACGCTTCCTCTCGTCTCGTCGCTTCCTCATTACTGAGGGTCGTGACCACCTTGGTCTAGTTTCTGCACCAGCTTTCTCCAACGTTGCCTACATTCGGCCAACTTAATGACGCTGGTGTTTGTGGCCTCGCTTATAATGTCCGTCCACCTGGTTAGCGATCTTCCTTGACTTCTCTTTCCTTCCACGTAACCTACAACTATTCGTTTTTTCAAGTTGTCAGGATTTCGTTGGGCCACGTGTCCGAAATACTTGAGGAGACACACATTTGTTCGGCGCTCCGTCCATGATACGCCCAACATTTTGCGCTAACACCACATGTCAAATGCTTCAATTCTCGATCGGTTACGGGCCTTGAGGGTCTACGTCTCAGAAGCGTACAAGAATATGGAGAAGATAAGGGTTCGCATAAGCTTTATATTAGTTTTTTGTTTATGCTGCGATTTCTCCAAATCTTCTCCAATCGCTTCACGGCTCATTTTGACATCTGGGCCCTCCTGATTACCTCTTGATTTTGTAGGCAGGAAAAAAGACATCGTTCCAGAGGAATATAATATGTATAATGTACCACTGTGTAAACCACTTTTCTCTTAACCAAACATGAAAGAACATGTTTCCTTCTCTTTCCCTCTCATTAAATCCGGGCTACGTCCAGAAAAAATATTGTACATAAAGCATACGAAATTGAATTATGCATTCTTAATTTATGTTCTCTCCGTTTGAAATAATGGGATGCTCCTAAACAGAACGTGAAATGATTCTTTTTTTTGTTTAATTCAGTACATTTTTTTCGGCTTATTTGCTCGCTGTTCGGTAATGAAATATGGATGGAATGAAAATTTTAAGCATCCGGATGAAAGTATTTCTGATTTTTGTTGTATTAAATAATCAAAGTTTGGCGGGATTTTTTTAATTATTTTGGTGGGTATTACTGAATCTCTATGTCACTTCAAGCATTTTGCTACGATTAGCCCGTAATGCATGATATAGACTCAGTTGTTGAAACTACCCGCGCCTCCCCTGTTGCAAGCTTATGATAAATCTTTTTAATACGCTTTTATTAGACGTATGTATTCAGACGTATGTATGTTAGTATGTAACGGAATCTTTGAACACGATTTTGACCCCGTTCAAAGCGTCGGATGCATGGTATCAATAGTTATAAATATTTTATGAGCAGATATGAGGAGAAGGGTTATTTTATAATATCCTGAAAAGCACCCCACCCTTTTTTTTACAATAAAATCATTTTTTAATTCAAATTTATAAAAA